TCGGGGTGGAGTCCTTGCTTGAGGAGGTGGCCTCCGCGTTCGTCTTTTCACGTCGTGATTCCTGGACTGGCGGCTGGATAGCGCCTGTGGATACTGTGGCCCGATCAGCAGAAGTTGTGGTGGTGGCGGGGACCTCAGAGACGATATCGGGCTGCTTATGAATACTCGCATCTGCTGGCGCCTGCCCATGAGATGATAGCAGTTTGGCGGCATTGACTGAACCATCGGCACTACGTTCCGTGGTGCTAGGTGGCTCGGCTATGGATTTCAACTTAGCACCAGATCCATCCTTTTCGATGTTTCTTTCATCTGCGGTAGTTCCAATTGTCTCCCCGGCAGCATCCGCTTTTTCGGCTTCTTTTTCTATCAGGAGATCGGAGGGATTATCGTCGGTCTGTTCCGTGCTGCTGCCTTGCTGTTCATTTCCTACTGCTATCAGTTGATCGCGGTCAGAGATTGTGGCGGTTTCACCAGCTGCGTTCTCACCTACTGTTACTGGTTGCTCGTCCTGTGCCGTGATGTGGTTGTGAGTGGTTGTTGGTTGTTGATCTAGAGCAGAAGATTGCTTTACTTCCTCCAAAACAACCTTGGAAGCCGGAGATTGTTGTGTGGTGGTTAGAAGAGAGAGAGCATTGCTATTCGCGGTTGATGTATTTTGTGCTGTTCCCTCTTTTGTCGCAGTTGCAGATACAGGAGACTCTTGCGATTCGACTATGGTCGTGTGTTCTTGGTCCGGTGATATGACCTTTGCTAGTACGGCAATTGGATCAGATGACTGTAGTAAAGTGTCAACTAATGCATTGAGCCCCAGCGTGGATCTCGTTGCATCAGCTTGGGAGTAACCGGTGATCACTACGGTGGGGGATTTCCGATCCTCGTTATTCAGCCACGCTCTCGCCCACAGCTCCTGTTTACATTTCTCTGGTAGTGCCGATGCCTTAAGGTAGTCAAACGCAAGTTGTAAGAGAGGATCTGGCTGCGACTGAGATGGGATGAGGATCTTCTGTTTTTCTGATTCGGTGATGTTGTCAACAAAGAAGAAGCTGTATTCTGCTTTGGTCGTCTTAGCAGCACGCGCTATCTGGTTTGTCGTTTGAGTCGCATCTGCTCTATTTTTTATTTGCTCAATCTCAAGAGTCGCGATGTTGTGTAGGTGGGAGCCCGGAGCGAATTGCGCTGTCCCTTTTCCGTCAGGTAGGCAACCGTCCTGTTGTTCCTCACCATCATGAGCTGCTCGGTCCTGGTGTTCCTTATTTAGGCACCTGAGTGTGATGTTGTATACTACTTCTGAGAAGCGCCTCCACGATGCCCAAAGCTGGTTGTCAAACATTCTTTCGTTGAGCTCGAAAACGTATGGATCCATAATTTTGGAAATCTGGTCGCGACACATGGAGGAAATCATCTTGGCAAGGCGCTCTTTGACGAAAAGCGACGGGCTAGAGGATGAGATGTGTGCAAGTACTAGCGTAACCCTTTGCGCAATGGCTGTGATGCACAGATCAAGCTCGAAATGCTTGTCTGTGTGATCTCTTATCAACTCCTCCATTTCCAAGGCAGCATCGTCGCACCAATCATGGTCAGGGTTGCCCAGGATGTCTGCTTCCTGCTCTAGTTGGTCGTTGATCTTGTCCCTCAAGGGCTTGTGCTCTGATATCTTGATGACTTCTGATCCACCGGCGCTCGTGGCCTTCTGTACTGGGTCACGCTCCGATAGATTAGAGCTTAACTTGTCAAAGTTTAATCTTGCGGGATGGAGCAACTTGTCGTCTTGCTGTAGTTTTTTCACTTCTTCATCTTGTGATGGTAAGGATGTGCCAGCTTGTGATTGCTGCGACGGGATTTGGTGAGCAGAGCAGTCGACCTGAGGAGGGGAAGTATTTGTTGGATGGTTCAGGGCGGAGGAGTGATGTTTGTCGCTCATGGCGGCTTGGTGGTCTCCTCTCCTATCATCTGTCCAGACTCTGTCTCGATCTTGAGGGTTCATGTTGAATTTCTGGTCGGTGCCGCCCATTTGAACATCTTCTTCATCGCTTTGCTCACCGAAGATGGGATGACTGTTCGCTCTGCCACAGGACATCGGTGAGATTGAGCAGTCCACTAGAGGAGATTCTTCGGCGATGATGCTCACTTTGCGTCGCTCGCCATCGATGTCGACGTCGCTGTAGTATAACGACTGATCTACGATGGCGCCACTGGCCGTGATTTTCTTCATCGGTGTTCGGGGTGGAGCTGCCTCTCCTGTATTCGTTCCTCCTATTTGATCTATCTCCATCTCAACATCCGACGCAAAACCTATACTTGAGGCCTGGGCGTCAAAGATCCCTTCCATAGACTCCCTGTAGATCGGATTGCGCGCTCCATCAGTAGCTCCTATGACTCCTTGATGATCTAGCACATTTCGACTTCGACTGTTGTCTGATCCACCAAGTTGCTCTGGTTGATTTTTGATGGTGAGCTTGCCATTCGCTTTGGAGTCCTGTTTTATGCTGGATTCTTGGATTGAGATATCGTCACTTTCGTCTTTCGGCGGTGGAGGTGGAAGTGCTGGTAGCTTGGACGTGTCAACTTGGAGATGATTCATTAGCGCCATGTTCTGCTGCATCAGTACTTCTAAGACTGAGTTGCTATATTCTCTGGACTTTTTTAGTTCTCCCATTTGTTGCTCTTGTCGCTTCTGGCCCTCCTTGATGTATTCAATTTCCAGGAAGATTTCCTTTTTCAATGGCTCCAGTCTCTGATCAAGTGCTGCGTTTATTTTCTTCTGTATCATCATGTCGAGGTCTTCTCCTGCTGGCACAAGAGCTCCACCTCCGGGAGGTTCCGTTGGCATTTCTTCAATCGTAGTTACTGGGTTCGGCGCCCACCTGTCACAGTCCAGCAAGGGCTTGATGCTTTGCATGGCCACTTGCCACTTGTTCGCTTTTCCTCCTCGCCATTGCCAGACTATACTGATGATGAAACGCTCGGAAGGCTCGATGTTGTACGGTATTCCTGATTGGAATACCGGGAACTTGCATGCCTGGTATTGCTTGGAGTTGCAGGTGCTATACCAGCATCCATCGCCGAATTCGCTGACCACCATCATTCTCATTCCCGTGTCGTAGTCGGCCCAGTCGCAGTACGTCTTGAACCACTGAGGTGGCAGCAACCACCTGTTGGTGGCGTCCTTTCCCCAGATGGGCTCGCTGGATCCTGGTGTAATTGCATGAGTCCTCTTCAGTGCATGGAGAGCCTGACGGGGATCACGCGTTAGCCTCTTGGTGGGCCACTCTTCGTATTCCTTTAGTGTCGAGGTAATGTACTCCTCCGAGCCAGTCAGGTCTTCTAGTATTATTTCTTCAATGTTGATTTCCTCTACTTCCATACGATTGCGCAGATCACCAATAGCAGCACCACGCTTTCCACCTTGGCCTTTACCCCCTTTGTGGCCTTTTCCACTGCTCGTGCCATTCTTTCCATTCCCTTTATTTTTAGTTTCCCACTCGGTGCTTCGAGCGCTGCGCGGCAGGTGAGGAGTGTGCTTTTTGATGTTCTGGAAGGAGGTGCTTTTTGCGGCTTCGGCGGTGGAGGTGAAGGTCGTGTTGCTCCTGGTGCCACTGGCATCATCCTTTTTGATGGAAGTAAACTGCGTGGTAGTTGTTGTCGTGGTGTGGCTCCCATGACTGGCGCTACCAAGAGCCGGATGGCGAGCGTCAAGATTAGAGATGGTATAGTTCCTCTTGTTGTGGTCGTTGTTGTTACCCTTGTTTGATGGTGCGGATGTGGTGGCTGTCGACGGTGCTGATAGTGAAGTGGAGGTGGTGGTTCCTCCGTGCTGTCCATTGTTGTTGTCGATCGTCTTCCCACTTGCATCAGCTAGAAGGCCGGTTGCTGTGAGCATCACTGCATCGTTGCTAGTGCCTCTATCTACGTTCCTGGTGACGGGTGCGACGGCCTTCTTATCTACGATCTGTGCGCATTGCTGGAGTAGTGGATCCTTTTTTGATTGTGCCATGATAAGCGGTGGCGCCAGGTCGATCTTCTTGTTAATGTTCAAGCTGCAGTCGCTTCCGCCTTTGTTGATTTTGCGCTGGCGTTCTTCCTCTTCTTCTTGGATTGTTGGAAGTAGAAGGAGTGCCTTTTTCTGCTCATGGATTGTGCTATTCTTAGTCGGTGACTTGGAAAAGAGGGAGGGCTTCATTATGGCTGCAGATGTAGTTTTTTCATCAGATGTTTTGATGATGGATGTACTAGAAATGTTCGATATGTTCTCGCTTCGCTCTGAGACCCGACGTTCCACAATGTTTGCTCCCGTTGGGTGAGTGACTGCTTTGCCAGTTCCAATTGTTTTCGGATCCAGCTCGGGGAGGCTGGTCACCTCCTGATTCGTGCTTGCTGCTTGGATAGGATTGATCTTGGTACTATCGGAGTCTGCTGCATTGGCGTTTTCTGCAGCGGCAGCGGCTGCTTCCTCCGCTGCTTTGGCTCTCATGGCCCTTGTTGCTACCATTTCCGCTACTTGTAGTTATATAAATGATTGATAGTTTTACGATGTGGCAAAGTGCCTTTTATTTCATGGAAAAGAACAAAAAGAAGAAGGAAGGGGATAGATTACAATCGTTTAGGTTAGGGTGGTGGTCTTTTAGTGTAGTTGTTGTATCGAGATGTTTGCCAGCTTTATGTGGATCTACCCCAGTATTTTTGATCGCGACGGAGATTGAACAACAATTGTATTCAGACTTGTAGGTGACAATAAGCACAAGACGGTGGCGGATCATGCGGAACAGTGCCGTGGATTCTTCTCATTTTAAGTTGGAGATATAAATTAGAGTGCAGCAATGGTTCCATTTCGATTAATTGGATTACAGTTGGTGGCGGTCGGATACTTGTTTAGACTTTGTTCTTTTACCAGATATACGATCGATTTGTCGCTGTGGATCCTGGGGCAGTCGGACTTAAATAGCTAGATTTTCACCGTATTTTTCCCGGTCTACTTGTGTACTTGGCCATTCAGGTCCAACCGCGGGCCACATCACAATGAAGTCGATATTAGTCGTTTTGCTGGCTTTAACACTGATCTGATGATTGGTTGTTTCTAACATGTTACTAGGTCGTTGTTGTTGTCGTTGTTTCGAGGTTAACTAGCGGTTGGACCTCTCTGTTGAACTGGGATCATGGGCAACAAGGCAAGCCTCTTAAAGAACGCATGATGATACGAACAAGCAAGCTGAACATCACAAAAAAAAGAAGCATTTTCGCGAGAACATGCGACTCTCCCTTACCAGTATCGTTTTTTCTGTCGTGGTATTGCTTTTGGAGCAGTCATCTGGGAAAGGGGTTACAGTATCAGGGATTTTGTCGTCGTAGAAGGGTTTTTCACCAAGCGTTGGCAAGTTGGAATCTACAGCGTAGTAGGCACAGTCCATTTGATGTCTCTGGTCCTGCTGCGAGGATGATGAAGCATTCACAGTAACATTCAGACATGAATGAATGCTGACGTGGTCCATCTTCAGAAGTACAATTTTTGTTATTAGAAGAGAGTTGATGGATTGTCTCGCATGATCAGTCCTACTAGTGATAGTACAAGCCCAGCATGTAGCTACATCAAGTCAACATAGTATCTATAAGCCAAATAAGCGTGGAAACCTTAGATCATAGTCAAAAAAGTTCCACATGAGACGAAACAGTCCCGAATACAGGACAGCGCTGCCACAAAATAAAGCCAATCTCATTTCATTCCTCCAAATCCCACCGGCAAGCCCATGGCTCGCATCATCTTCGTCTCTTCATCCTCTTCCTCCATCTGCACTTGTTCCTCCGCTTCCGCTGCTGCCTTCTCCCGCTTTCTTCGCTTTCTCTCCTTTCGGTCTTCAGCTTTGAGTTCCGCAGTGTCCTCGTATTTCTTCATCTTGGCTAAAATGTCTTCCGCAGTTGCTGGCGCCGCATGTTCAGCGTCTGCACCGAGCAGGTGCTCGGGGACCGGCGCACAGACATCGGGTCCCAGATCGTCGAGCGAGGCGAGAGGGTCGCTCGAGTTAGACGGAGAGGAGGAACTGGTACTCAGTAACAGAAGCAGTTACCAAGTGAAGAAGACTGCGTACGAGAATTCACACTGAACAGTTGCGAAGACTGAGACTTACGAGAATGCAGTGAAGAAGCCTGAGCGGACTTGACAAAAATATCACTATGGTTTTATTTAGTACACAGAAGTGAATTGGTGAAAAAAAGAAGAACTCTAGTACTGTTGATGTTGTAAAATGGCAATTTATCATCAGTATCTTTCTACTGTGCGTGGACGAACATGACCAAATGAAAAATTATTCATTCTAACCCGGATAAAAACTATCATTTTTACTCCTGTGTCTACAGCGATGAAGATGAATGTGAGTTGATAACGTGAAGAAGAGCGCTTTCTCATGAAATCTTAACTGTTCCATTCGCAATAGCCGCCGTAGCCGCTCCTCCACCATTCTGCACTCTCAACAGGTGTAGTTTGCCTCTTTTCCGCAGCTTTTTTCTACGCATTTCGTCTATTCGGTCCATTACTTCCTCTAACGTGGCAGGCTTCACCACCATGTTCATGCCCATCATCCGCTGATGCTTCTTGCCGTTCAAGTGATCCAGCCAGGACAAGTTGTCTTTCATCAACTTCTTGCACAGAGGGCACCAATACCCTCCTTTCTCGGCGTCGTAGGTGGCATCTGTTTGCATGATAGTCTTGCCCACATTTGCTTCCGTGTGGAGACGCTCATTGCGCCTCTGCAGGTACAATCTCTGACTAGCAGGAATCGGGACCGCGTTTCCCTCACCATCAGAACCATCCGATCCTTCCTCGGCTTTCTTCAACGCCAACTGCTCATAATGCTCCTTTATTAGATGTGGAATAACAAGCTCCTAGAGAAGCTTAGTACGTGACGATGACGAGATAATCCTCGTTTAAATTAGATGTTGAACAAGCTACTTCTAGAGGAGGTGGAACAAGCTTCTAGTACTAGACATACATTTACGCTAAATCTGATATTAAAAAGGATGCTGTGTTTGAAATTATAGAGCAATAAATATATGTACTTCGTAGTAGATGAAGAAACACGAAAAAATCTTGATGAAGAGTTTTGAATTGAGGCCGGCTGAAGATGAGAGGTGGTACAGGTGTTATCAATAATGATGCTGAGAGTCTACTTACTTTTACAGGTGTTATCAATAAAGAATTTCTACAAGTCTGTATAAGAACGATTGAAAGGATCATGAGGTTCCATAACTTATCCCACGCTCGTCTACCGAAAACGTCTTTCGTGACGCCCTCTCGTTCCTGCACTTTGCTATCCCATGCTACCTTGATTTCCCTTTCTTTGAGGTCCATGTCGTCACCTCCACTTCCTTGGAAAAACGTCTCCTCCATCTGTGCTCCCATTTGCTTGGCTTTACGCTGCGCCGCAGCCGCATTATTGGCAAACTCAGCCACTGAAAATTCCTGCTTACTATTAGCTGAGGAAGAAGAAGCGCCGCCTCCTCCACCGGTGGCTCCACCCCCATTTTTCCCAGCATTGGAGGACGGTACGTTGGAGTCTGAAGACATCTTCTTGATGATGAATCTTCCTGATGAATGAATGAAGAGAGATCTAGAAACCACCTGCGAAAGCTACTTGGGTCTACAATCAAAACAACTCGATCATGATCTAAAAGTAAAACTGGATCTATCATCAATAGCGATACTGAAACATGATCAACAAATAAAGCTCCAATGGATAGGGACGGAGTTGTGAAAGAAAACGATATCTTCCTGAGCTACATTTGGAATGATGAAGATAAAAGAAGGAGAAATCTGGAAGGAGCATGGGTCGTTGATGCTGCCTACAGAGAGATCATCATCCGTTGGTTCGTCTCAAGTACTTAGTTTCACTGTCAGCAAGGTTCCATTCTTTCCAAGTATCAGCAAGAGAATGGATAGGACCCTGGAAAGAGACACATTCATGAGTAAAAACATCTCACACACGCAAAGCCTGAACAAGAAGTTGGAAGATTTAAGGTTCAAAAGTTTAAAAGATTACTATTCCTTTTCAGCACGACGTTGAAGATCCTCAGCTTGCATGCATATTCCAACGCTGCACAATAAGCGAGATGAGGAAGTTCTTCCAGCATCTTCTTTGGAATGATCATCTTCCTTCGGTATTTGGATTCTTCTGTTGCAAATATGCAACTGCAAATGGAGGTGAGAACACAGCTCTTGTCGAAAAATTTCGAATAGCAAGCTTCTTAGTGAAAGAAGCTCCGTCAACGACGACTCATTTCTCTAAGTAGTATGCAAGAACAAGAATGTCAAATACTGCTGTTGTAATTGAGTGTCAATGCAGTTTGCGGATTAGTTGAATGATAGTGATGGATTTGCATCTTTGGCGCCTTCAATTCAAGAATGCGATGCAACCGATGGTATAAATTTTCTTGCTCATCAATGGTACGAATTTTCTACACTTGTCATAGTGCTGCATGATCACTTTCACTAATTACTTCCAAAAACTCAATGATAAAACGCACCCGCTGTACGTGTTACTATCATTATTATTATGTTCGCGCGCGACCTTATCGCCACGCACGTGTTGCGTGTTTGATTCAGATTCATTTGGTAGCCTCTCACTGATCTGCGCTTGAAAACAATTTTAACGCTGAATGGACTAGATTGGCGACCAAAACTTCAAAATGCTCAATCAGAGCAAATTGAAATCATGAATTGAACGTGTGTCATGTACTAAATATGATTCGAAAAACTGAAATAAGCGAGTAATTGAAAAGAGCAATCTTCTCACATATTCGGTTTTCAGTTAGCTACTCGCTTAGTTTCAGTTTTCGAGTAAGTGCTGAGTATCGTGAGACCACTTCGCCTTTCTCTGCATGCTTTTCTGTGCGATCGATGTGTGTCATATTTTCTTGGTGGATAATCACCTGGAAGGAGGCCCTCGACGTGGTCGCCCGAAGCATGACTTCTCATTCATGCTCAGAAATTCTCTAGTACTACGCCCCCTAAAAGTTCTGAAGACACAACAACGACGCCTGGCCAGAGAGAGGCTCAACATACTTAATACAAAAACGCAGCCCCATCGTCCAGTTCAGTTCAGTCCACCTCCGTAGTCATAACAAAAATAGAAACCACTCTGCTTTTGGACCTTCTTCCAGCTTCCTAAATAAGACCAACGTAGGGCTTTGCAAAGAACTTCATAAATAGTGCTTGTCATTCCTCATCCCGCACTTCATAAATAGATTTAGATTAAGATTTAGATTTAGATGGGCACCCGCCGCAGCCCTGCGCCTCAAGCACCGGATTGGCAGAAATTAGCGCTGAGCCTCGCCGCAGACCGTCTGACCGGTAGCTGCTCTACATGCAGTCCAACAAATGCAGCTAGTTAACTTTGACGTCAGCGGGGAGAGTTTGTTGGTCTCATAAATAAGAGAAACTTCATAAATATTAAAGTCTACAACTGCATCTAGATCATTCTACTGTCCTTAGGTTGCCTCTGTCTCTGTCAGATAGATTGAGTTTTACAGGAATATATATAATCAAGTCGATGCGTATTGCATACGTGCTGCCTTGTTATACAAGAATGGCGCCTCGTTGTACAGTGATGCCTTACTCGTAATGACGCCGGGACCGCTATCTAAGTGATCTATGCTTTTCTCATAGTTAGCAGCGAGACTTTGGATAAACGCTATTCATTCATTCATTTACCTAGCACGAGGCACTGGCTCAAAAGTTAGTTAGGACGCAAGGCCTACAAATTATCTCAATGGCCTGGCGATCCGGCTGCGGACGAGGAGAATGCGCCGGGCCCAAATTTATGCACTACGGCAGACCCAGATGCGGGGGATCAAACGCCACACATCCCGCAAGCACTCCAATCGAAAGACCTATCGCGACGCAAGTCTTACGATACTTCGTGACGCAACGAACCGGAAAACCAAAGAAAAAAAGCACGAGCATCCCTATACTAATAACTGTCCGCTTTCTGTTGTTTCAATTATTCACTAGTCCTTACTTCTGTACTTAACTGGCTGCCTATGTCTTCAGTAGTGAGCTATAGTTCACTCATTCATTCACTTACCTAGCACGAGGCACTGGCTCAAAAGTTAATTAGGACGCAAGGGCTACAAATTATCTCAATGGCCTGGCGATCCGGCTGCGGACGAGGAGAATGCGCCGGGCCCAAATTTATGCACTACGGCAGACCCAGATGTGGGGGATCAAACGCCACACATCCCGCAAGCACTCCAATCGAAAGACCTATCCCGACGCAAGTCTTACGATACTTCGTGACGCAACGAACCGGAAAACCAAAGAAAAAAAAAGCACAAGCATCCCTATACTAATTACTGTCCGTTTTCTGTTGTTTCAATTATTCGCTAGGCCTTACTTCTGTACTTATCTGGTTGCCTATGTCTTCAGTAGTGAGCTATAGTTCATTCATTCACCCATTCACGACTCACTCGCTCATTCATTCATTCACTTACCTAGCACGAGGCACCGGCTCAGAAGTTAATTAGGACACAAGGGCGACAAATTATCTCAATGGACTGGAGATCCGGCTGCGGACGAGGAGAATGCGCCGGGCCCAAATTTATGCACTACGGCAGACCCAGATGTGGGGGATCAAACGCCACACATCCCGCAAGCACTCCAACCGAGAGACCTATCGCGACGCAGGTCTTACGATACTTCGTGACGCAACGAACCGGAAAACCAAAGAAAAAAGAGACAGGCCCCTCCTTATACTAATTACTGTCCATTTTCTGTTGTTTCAATTATTCGCCAAGCTTTACTTCTGTACTTAACTGGTTGCCTATGTCTTCAGTAGTGAGCTTTACAACACCTTTTCAACAATTCCACTGTCATGATAACTTAAGTTGCCTTCGTCTGTCAGGTAGATTGCGTTTTGAATGGTGAATGGACTAGATTGGCGACCAAAACTTTAATGTGCTCAATTATTGAGACCGCACCATTCTTACTTCAGCTTCCATTCCTTTCCGCTGTCATTACAAAAAAAAAATCTAAAAGCATGACAGCCTTCGCTACTGAGTAGAGAAAACTGCCGGTCTAAGCTCCCACCCAGAGCTCTTGGCGTAGTGAAATACAATTTTAATCGGATGGACTACATTAACGGGAAGCTCGCTGGCCCATTTGCATACCAACCTGTATGCAAAAGAACCGGATAGGAATTTCTAGAAAACAAATGAACTAACTTGACTGCGGCCATGATCAATCTTTACAGTGCTGCGCTCGCTTTAGTACTTATCTGCTGTCAAAACTTTCCGATCAGTTGCACCACGCAAAACTGAAGCTATCCATGGCTGTCCTCTCTCGTGAGTAGAAAAACCAGACTGGCAGCCTGAGGCTGAGCTTTCATCGATATCGAAGTGCCATTACACATAGTTGATAATTCATTGTACGCATGAGCGATGTTGTTCTGTAATTGAATGTAGTTTGCGGATTAATTGAATGATAGTCACTGACTTGTTGCTGCACCAAGTCAACACAATGCAAACCTGTTACTAGGTCCTACTTATGGTATAAATTTTTTCGCTGTGCCACATGATGACTACTTATTCCAAAAATTCAACGAGAAAACGCACCTTCTGTGCGTGTTTGATTCTATGGGCACTCGCGCTTGGTTCATTCGTCCTTCAATAATTCAATGTAAAAATGCTACCAGTATTGCCCTGTTCATGGTATGAATTTGCTCCCATAATTCAACGAGAAAACGCATCTTCTGTGCGTGTTTGATTCAATGTCGAAAACGCATCGTCTGTATAAGTAAGATGAACCAATCTACTTATAGTAAAAATCACCCCAAGACTGACCAACCTACTACCACATGGTAAAGGCTGACTTTCTTTTCTTTTTGATGTGTTTCTGTAAAAAATTTTCGCGCACTGGCGATTCGTTCTGGATCCATTTTTAAGAGCATAGCGATTCTACTCCAGTCTATGGAACATCATATCACTTCGCTTTACGTGCTCACCAACTTCCAATCACAGTTCGCAAGAACTGCTCTTTTGAGGCGTAGGCGCTCTTCTATTGAGTCAAAATCAAGCATAAGTAGATATGAAAAATATAAAACGGAGAAAATAGTCGGCACTGTAGTTAGAAGTAGCTCACCGAGGCGTCTACCTCTTTTGTAGGGGTAAACACTGCCGGTAACCGTTCTACTTACAAGAGCATAAAAATACACTCTCGATCTGCATACGAGCACAGCCTTGCCCTCCGTTGTTCCTGTTATTTCTGCCATTTACAAAAAAAATAAACACCACACACGGTTCAACAATTCAATTCCGAGAATATCTAGTACGCACAACTCCCTTTGTAGAAAATTCTTGCATGCTTGAGGCTCAAAATGCTCGCGATCACATGCGCCAACATGTTTGCGCGATCGCCATCTGATGAACAACATGTCAACAACGCTTCAGGGCCAGCGAAGGAACCCCCTCAGCCCCTCACTCGTTTTACCATAATGAGCCCTTGCATGCTTCTAAACATATATATATGAATGCGAATTGAGTAAATCTAAACTAACACCTCGTTAAGAGCAATTCTAGATAAATGCGTTGCCTGTAGATACTTCACTTGGCTTGTCTGTCATCATAGTTTTTGGACAAATGTCGATACTTCACTTGCCTTGTCGGCGTAGTTTTTAGATACATAAACCTAAGCTGTGTCAATCCAATCCACCTCAACAGTGGCTTTTTTCTACTATTCCTCTACGCCTATCAGCAATCCAGCCTCCACCATCTTCTTCAGTTCATCGATCAGCTCCGTGAGCTTTTTCCCCAATTGGTCCACTTCCGCACCTTTCTTGCTACTAGGCAAGCTTGCCGCGAGCTTTGGCAGCTCAGCCTCGACCAGGTTCTTGCGGAGCACTTCTTGCTGGACAAGGACCTTCACGAGGGCAACTGCCTGATCGTTTTTAAGTAGGGGCTTGTCTAGTAGTTCTGCCCACCTTTTTAGCGTATCCAACCACTTGCGATTCGGTTTGAGGTTCGAGTTGAACGTGCTTCCCGTGAGTAGCAGAGCTGCCTCGGGCGCCCCTTCCTGTTCCGCGAGCGTCACACGGGCGTCCGCATTCTTGAAACTTTCGCTTTGCACGTCAGTCTTCGCCATCATAACCAGCTCCACCACGAACTTCAATTGTCCTTCACACTCTTCCAGTCCCAGTGCTGCGGAAATTCGCATCTCGGCTTCCGCCTCTGCTGCAAGCTGATGATACTCGGGGAGCCGGCTCCTGCCAAGAATATACCTGGCGTAGAAATTAAGCCCCATCCTTGCGTCTACCTCCTCGTTAGATTCAGAAGCTTGCCCTTGCGGAAACTTCCTGACCTCTTGAAAGAGGCTAGCGCACTCGTCCCAGGTGTCGTGCGTGGGACCTGAGCCGGGGTCCGCCTTGCTCTTGTCGAAATCCGTAAGCAAAGTCTGCAGATATTCAGCCGCCTTCGCGGCTGCATGAACCTTGGCCGCGTCTCTGGCTGCGCCACGCAGGCTCATCAAATTGCCACGCAAGAGCAGCAGGTCCTGATCCGTTATGGATAGATCCGCGGTGGTGAGCGAATTCGGATGTGGTTTATTTCTACTTATGTTTACGTCGAGGTTGAGCAGCTTTGTGGCAAGGTTCTCCTTCTCCTCGTCGAGAGGTTTCGTGGGAAGTTCAAGTTGACGAACTTGCTCGGTAAACGCCGGCCCGTCTGGCTTGTCCTCGATTCCTGGCAAGCTCAAACTGCCCCGCTCCGAATCGTCGTACATTCCACACTGCGGCTCCATATGCAACCAATCTCCCAAAGCTGCCCACTCAGTCAAAAACGCATGCGCCTTGCATGTGCTCGTGTCGGAGATCCCTTTGAACATGTCCGTCTCCAGGTCTGCCTTCGCCATCGCGCGGAGCTCCTTCGCGATCTCCTGCCCGCGTGCTAGCCTGCGGAGATCAACGTGCACGGCAAGTGGCTTCTTTTGAGATGGACTGGCCATCAACTGATGAAGCTTTCCCGCACCGAAAGCAAGATCATGGTACTTCACAAACCACTGTTGTGGGCGGCGAAGCAGGATATGATCAGACTCTCCTGTGAGTAGCCTCGTGGCATCTGGCTCTGTCCCCACAGGAGAGGGGCAACTATCCCCGTGCGCCGCCGACTTTTCGGTCTCGCCGTTCCCTTTTTCGATCATGTCGAGCTCTCGCTGTATCTCCTTAAAGAAAAAGTTTTCTGCGACCTCATGGTACACGAACAGTCTGCCTTCTGCACACACATCGCTATTCTCGTTCTCCATGTCCATATAGCGGCGCATCTTGTTCACGCTCGCAAGCGCCGTCGCCGCCTTTTCACTCCATCCGCTGGACTGCGACTTCTGGGCATCATCCCCAGCACCACCATTCCACCAATTTTTGAAAGCCTTTAACGCCACCGCAAGGGCGATCTCTGTCTCACTCCGCTGCGAGATCCCAACCGCCTCTTTCGACAGTTCGAGAAAGTCGCCATACATGGCAGTCTGGTTTAGCTCGTAAGCATGCGCGTTAGGATAGTCCGACGCCGCAAGAAAGTCCATCGCGCCCGTCAACCCGCGGTCCGCTTTTGGTTTAACCGCTTCTCCCGACACTTCGAGAAAGGTCCCATCCATCGCAGCTGGGTAGTTCGACGAGTGGGCGCCAGCTCTGGTATAGTTCGAAGGAGCGTGGGCGTCCACTTCGACTGCGCCTCTGAGGGCGCGGCCCTTTTTCGGTTTCAATGCGAGGGAAGAATCATCTGCAACGTCGCCCAAAACTTGCATTGGCATGCCCAGCAACATCAGCGTCGCGAAGACGGCGGCCTTCATCTTTCTCACCCAGAAGCGCACCGGAAAGGGCATGCTGATGATCATTTTTTTGCCTCTTCCGCCTTCTTCTTCACCTATGTACGGAGCCGGCAGCGCGTACGGCCTTACCCTTGAAGCGGGACGCAAGTCGGGCGATTGGTGTGCTACACTGTGGAGAGCCTAGGCAATCAACGCTATTCAGGCACTGCTTGATCGTCGAAACCACAAGTCTGTCTCTGCTAGTTCTTCGTCTCCACAAACTTAGACACGGGTAACTCACTTCCGCAAAATTTGGCTGCAGCGTTTCGGCTTGTAGAGGTGCGCACGCGCTACGAGAATAGTGCAGTACTCTGCGACAGATACCACGTTACTCCGCTGGGCCTGCCAGGCTCTTGTAGGAGTGGCAGTCGTGGTCACTCTCTTGCAACAAGTGCAAAGTTTCTTGTAGATGCGGACTGACCTCCCTTTTAGGAGTACTAGTCTTCTGCGAAGAGTGGTCACAATGCTAGTCGATACGAGTTCGTTGCCCGCAGTAAGTCGTAGAACAGTCCTGTGTAGTTACGAGTACAAAGGTAGTAACCAGAGTTGATGTAGCCTTTTGCGACAGATACCACGCTAGTAGATCGTGCTGTTGTGGTAGTAGTCTGGGTCTTCCGCAGCGAGTACAACGCCAATAGACGTGGGCTGTCAGCCTTCTGCGAGAAGTAAGCACAACGCTAGTTGATGCGGAGAGACTCCACTTAGTTTATGGGAGTTGTAGGTTCAGACTCAGATGGGATCCTGCCTCAGCCCTGCGCATTGAGCACCGGATCGGCAAGTTGTAGGCTTGTGCGAAGAGCAAACACAATAAGAGGTAATGTAGCTACAACTACTACTTAGCACAGGAGCCTACTTCCTTAGCTCAGTCTACTTCCTAGTTGCTGTTGCAAACGTAAACCAGTGCTGAATAGTAACTTAAGATATTAGTGCTGAGTAATTCTTACATGTCGAACTTACGGGTACTGCAAGAAATGGCCAATGACGATCAAAGAAAGTCTAGATTTCTCTGAGACCAGAGTAAATTCATCTAGTGATTTGGTCCAAAAGCGAAACTGACGAGTTGAATTTTCGATACGCGACAATCTCCCACAGGAAACTAGCTAACTGACGTTACAAAGATATGCTGCTGCCAGGAGACGAAATAGGCCGAGTATTTAGTAAGGAGCTAGGATGGGGACAAAAACAAGAAAGGTTCAGACTCAGGCTCAGAGCGCTACGTCTAGAGCCTTCCTTCTCCTTGTAGCAAAGAAAAATGTCAAGAAAGCTACGAGTTTTTCAAGAAACAGGTTGTAAATGAAGCAGTCAATTCCCAGACGGAGACGAGAAAGACGAAAGCTGTAGAAGATTGTCGAAGCTGTACAAATAGCATCACCGCTACACTTACATAAACTCTAAGTTAAGATAAAAATCTTCTGCAGCCAGTTGTCATACTAGATACTAAACTGACTGTCGTGCCAAAAGATTGCGACGCGTCTAAATAATCACCTATCTGTGATTCATCGTGAGTGGACTAGTTAAGTTGCTGCGTGATTCTTATTTAGCATCAGCACTACATATGAATATAAACTAGAGTGACAAAACTACTCGCCACTTACTAGGTACTTTTTTCGTTTCAAAACGCGTATACACAAGCACGGAAACAGATACTACTCAGGTACGGACTTTTTTGGATTCTCAGCGAGTATACTCAGGAACGTCGAATGTAGAAAGTCAGTACTCTTTTGGATTTGGATTCTCATTCCTAGGCACTACTAGTAGGCTCCGGAGTATAGATGCATAGATACTACACCTCGGCTATGCACTACAACAATCACAACCAGCACATTCGAAAATTCTAACAAATGGACATCGAGACGCGCTACTCCACGGTTATCAGTTCAACAACAACTAACGAAGGCCAACACCTTTGATCTACGGCAGTATGCCTATGAGACCAGGTGAGTGAGGTGAGCACAACTTTAGTTAAGTATAATGAAGACGGCGAGTGGGGGATAGAAGGGACGAAACAGCTTCTAGATGTAAAACCGTGATAGCTAGCTAACTTCTGGTCAACGCTTTTGTAGAAATGGACTTGAAAATGGAGAAACCTTCTAGCTACTTAAGATGGCACCTTCTTCCCTGGTCATCACTGACTTTTTCCAAATCTAAGATGAAGTAGCAGCTATCAGTATGGATGATTGTCATACATGGATCTGCTGAATAGCTGGTAAAATGACCTCAAGACAAATTGCAATGAATCCGACCAGAGGCGAAAGCTTTGTAGACGTTGCTCAAAAAAGGGGACGAGAAAATACGCGAAGATATGAGTATGATTAAGATGATCGCACAAGTGCATCAGTGTGCTGAAAAAATCCACCAGATGAATAAGCCTCAAGCCAGATCACAACGAATCCGACTAGTGACAAGCGCTTGTTGGAGTTTGTTAGCTTTAATTTAACCTAGCACGCAGACCTTAGACAAAAAAAGAAACTCTATTCTATTCCTTTAGTTGTATCTTGGGGCTGTGAGCGGAGAAAAATTGTGTGTTTTCTGCTACAAACCTGCAAAAAGATGGGAGAGATGGTAAGGATTATTTTCGGTTGACCTTTGATATCGTCGAGAGTCAACTATTAGACCTTGAAATGTACATTAATCAACACCAATACGTAAATGATGCATGAATGATGACGAAGTGACTCGAGTGTCTAGTTTGTTTCATCTTCGAGTATCACCATGGTCTTCTTTACCTCTCCACTCTTACGAAACAGAAAGCACATTCCCTCAGACAGAATATTGTTGGAAATCGAGACGAGTATGATCAATAAAAATGTTGGATCGATCGGACGATTGGGTCATTCGAGATCGAGTCGAGCGAGTTGTCTCTCACCTCACGCAAACAGACGGCAAAGCCCCTCTGACAGAAAATGTTGGAAAATGCAACGAAATGCTCACTCGTTTCAGTCGTGTACTAGTAGCAGTCTCTTATAATTCGTGTACATACCTGTCGATTCGTGTACTAGAAGCAGGCCTCACTCGTCGAAGAACATCGCAGCACATGTTTTTCTACTAATAAACTATCAGTTCCATGATGATCCGAAACTACTAGGCAATAAAGTCCCCCCAAGTTCAACTTCAAGTTGGTACAATTCAAAATCAATTGCAAAGATCGATCTGATTTTACTGTAGCTTGTTCGATAATTTCAAGACTTCGCCGAGTCGCGGGTCGAGTTCAGGAATCAAGAGAAGGACTCATTAGTACTAAGGTGTGAGTACGCAGTCTTTCTCAAGTGGATCCGCGCACTGAGCTGGACAATGTCATACCTGTAAAGAAATGTCATACCCACAGATAACAATATCACACTTCTTACTTCTGGCCAATCTTACTTCGTCTTTTCACCTCTCTACATCACACATTCACAAGTTTAGCTTTTTCAGAGGCCTTCGGTCCTAGTATAGCACCTTATGGTAAAACTACACCAAAAGAACATAGTACTAGAACGGGGAATACTGTACTTGTAACACTTCTCCATAGTTTTGCAAGAAGACATAGACACTTTTTTACTTTTGGAAAAAAAAGCTCAGCTTCTGCTTCTCGAAGTAACCATGTTAATGATCATGCAATTCTTTACAGCCAAAATTTCAAAACGGCATGCGACGATGATTCACCAGAAATGCTAACATGTTAGATCCTATTCCAATTATAGAAAGAACTACAGCCAACTGTTGTAAGCAGCTCTGCGATCTAGTGTAATTAAATCGGTGTAAGCAGCTCTGCAGATCAACACAGATGTAGAAAGTAATCAGTGAATTGTAAGCTCTGCGATCTTCTAAAATACTACACGAATGCATCATAATCTTGTCATCTACGGCTGCTGCACCCCCTGTCGTATAACACGTCCGCAGGAAGGTAGTTCAACGGAGATCACGTGCTTTTCACTCAACAAGAATGGAACAACCGTCACCCTGCCTTGTACATCCTTGGTCCACTGTCAACATCTCGACAAGACCGCTCTTCCGCGATAACGAAATAGACGCTATAGTCGACAAGACCGCTCTTCTGGGATAACCACGTAGACGCTGAGTTGCTTCTCTTGTTCATCACCGAGGGACTCATCTGGCGATCGAGGTGTAATTTCACATGGGGTCAGCATGCCTTGGTAAGCCGCCGAAAGGGATATATTTTCGTCCACAACAGAACCACAGTCGGCAACCGTCGCAAAGCGTAGTCGATGCCAATTCCTTCGCAAAGGCTCATACCGCTCAAAAGACTCGAGATGATCTACTTCGTGATCTTGCTGCACTTGGTTTCGGTTGTCCTCTTCATGAAGATCTTCTCTTATTTCTACTACTCTTTCGCTGCTCGTCGTTTCTACTAGGGTTGCTTTGATCGTCGTTGTAGCTTGAAGATGTGTTGTTGAGGATGTAGTTCTGCTATTTGAATCCACAGGAGATAACGATAAGCCTCCTACAACTACATCTAATTTCGAGTTCGACTCGTCGTTGTCTTCTCCCGTCATAATTTTAATCGAAGCCCCTTGTTCCTCCTTCTTATTGCTAAGAGCTTTGATGTCTCCTTGTTGCAAAGACCGTCGGTAGAAGTCGCGTTCTATTTCGTCAGCAAAACAGGATCTTAGGAACTCGTCTACCGGCTGGCGCAAATGGAACGGGAATTCCTCCATGCAGTCCAAGATGTGCCTGAAAAGGTCGCGCTCACTCACAGACCGGAAAACCAAGTGCAGGAAGCGAGCTGGAGGCACAAAACGAAGCCATAATTAGAACTCACTACAATCCATCTTTTCGCCCATCTCAGGCCATTTTCCTATTTGAAAAGAGCTTACAGATAAACTGAAAGATGGATTACGTGAGGCCTTAACATAACTCCCTAGCGCCGCCTCTCGGTGTATTGCCTATACCAGGAGTTGACACGTAACTAGTAGTTGAAACACAAGAACTTCCACCACCGCGACCTATGGAAGTTGATGAGCTAGAAGAAGAACAAGGAATATCTTTGCTACTTCTATTGGTGCTGGTGCTTGTCCTACCAATAGATGTGTCCTGCCCAACAACATGGTCTTCGTAAGCATGTTGATCTCCAGCTCCTGCATTCATGCCTTCCTCCTCCCCCGTAGCTCCAGTTCGTGCATTCATATCTTCATTCTCCTCGTCAGTACTAGGATGTACCAAGGTGCCAGCTAAAACGGCAATCCCTTCCACCGGCCGATCTGCATAGCTGCTCACAAAGATGCAGCCACCGTTTACTTCGACGTTCAAGACAAACCGGCCACTGTTCGCATTCTGACGCAGGACCAAGGCATACATTAGAGGAAGGTGCTCGAATATTTTGGGTATTGATTGATTGAATGCTTGATTGACTGTTCATGAAATTAGAAGAGAGGAGACCACAGCAAGCCCTCACTCAGTAAGTGATCACTTGAACAAGCTAGTATTTTATGAGAGAGTAACTAGGAGAGGAAAGACTCGTTGAAGATGAGAAGTACTTCTTAGGGCGAAGAAAATAAAAGTACTTTCGTTATAACGTCACAAGCCATAATAAATGGTCATATCCGCAAGTGTCGCCAAAAAAAGCACTACTACTTTCCGCAAATTGGGGACGTCCTTTCCACAGACTATTCGAGAACGCAACCGTGTAGTTCATATTTTGCATATTATTTTGCCTATTCTGCACGTAGTTCGGATTTCGATTGTTTTGCATGTTCGGATTGGGATGATTTTGTTGATCCTGAAAGTCTACGTCTGGGTTACCCATTTCTCTTGGTACAACTTGTGAAACCAATACTGGGCCTTCGAAGAGGACGCGCTCACCTTCGCGTCGAGGTCGTGCAACGCCGTTGATCAGTTCCTGAACAACGGTCTCGTGTGGAGAGCAAAGGCCATTTGGGCTTCGTAATTGCTCCTCTAGAATCTTTCGAACGTCGCCAACGGTAGCAAAGGTGGCTATTGGAGGAGAGACAACAACGTCTACCTTCGAGGATTTGGTATTTGATGTACTACTGCTACTTTTACCAGATAGACGTGGGGATGACCGTGGAGATGGCGACGCCTGTGCAGCTGGTGGTGTTGTACCAATTACTGGTCGTGGTGAACTGCTGCCGGAGTTAATATTATTTTTGGAGATGTTATTATTTACTCCATGATGGCCAGTCCCAAGGCTATTTACTCCACGATGCCCACCAGATTCGACTTCGAGTCCACGAATAAACGAAACATCGGCTGTAGCTTCTCCTTCCTCCCCAGCATAGAAAGGACCTCTTCTTGGACGCTTATTCGATAAATTTTGAGTGTCCCCTTGGTCGCGCTGTTGTTGCCGCAACACCCTTTCTTTTTGAGCAGCACTCGTATACTCTGCATAAGCTCCTTTCGATGTTGACATCTTAGGCACTTGCAACACTGGCGGGTCTTCTTCAATCGTCAACCAGATCTCTTCTTCGACGTCGTCCCGAAGATCAGCGTCCATCCCTTGTTCGTTGTAACACGAGGACAAGTCTTGTACTTGATTCGTCATTTGAACGTCATCTTCTGATGCGCGTCCACCTGCTGCACTACCTTCTTCCTGCGCTCGTCCGAGAGTCTTAATGCTGGTATTGTTGCAGTTTACCGCTGTCGGTGCACTGCCACTGTCGGTGCTTCTCGGCGACAGCTTCGCAAATGCGATGTGCTCATCTCCAAGGTTCTTGAAGGTAACTGAGATGGTCTTCACCGGACTCACGGCCATTGGTTTGACTACGGCCATTGGATTGGCTATCATGCTCATGTCCATCTTGGCTACCATGCCCGTGCCCATCGGTCTGGAGATGTTCATGTTCATCCGTCTGAGCTGAGACTGAGTTTCGTTCATCACTACGTCAACGGCCGCTTCCTGCATTTCCACGTCTCCCTCCCTATCATCGAAGAGAGCCAACGACGCGTGGTCGTGGCAAGTAGAGGCAGAACTATGATCATCCATCATTTTGACAATATAATATAATCGAGAAACTATGTTGATCCGAATAAACTAGTGCTTAGGAATAGAGTAAGAGTAGTTGATCAGTCATCATTTTGACGATACAACTGTCAGTACTGCGATTATATGCTGAGCATATTATAATCGAGAAACTCTGTTAGTTGATCCGAAGCTAGTACCCACTTGGTTGTAAAAGTACGAGAGTAAGGGTATTCATCAATGATCATAACAAAGAAACGTCTCAAACTACTGCCGAAAACGAAATATCACCATACTACTACCTAGAACTAGACGAAAGGAGTCTTCTAGCTAGGCTTAGTGAACCGGGAATGACTGGTCTTGTTCACATAAGTATTTGATTTTTGCCCTTAGACTAGTCGTAACTAGCGACCTCCTGGGATATCATGAGTGGGCTGACAAGATGACATCATGCATTTTTTCCCTCCTGTCTGCCTATACAACAGACGGCGCCATCGCCTGTGCCAAGATGTTGGCTATAGTAAGAAAGTGGTCTAGGCTGTGATAGTTTTGTCCCAATGGTGAATAGGAGGGTTACTCCGGGCACACTTTACATCAAAAGACACTTTTTCTTGGTAGATACTGGTCCTACAAAACCTTCAAGAGCACTATTTTTGATATTCAGTTTTTTTGACGATTTTGCTTGGATTGTTTCTGACTGTATTTGGAGTCGATTGGATTTAAATTGAATTAAAACAAGATAAAGTCAAAAATTTAGACTTTTGGGATTTTCAAATTCGAATTTTCAAAGTTTAGAGCTTCAAACTACCGTAATGATTCACAGAAGCAGGGCCTTTTCTACGAATTACTTCGTAATTTAGATTCTAAAACTTTGCAAACTTCAAACTTTCAGACTTTTTGACACTTCTCAAAGAGTTTTGATGTAGGTATCACATGCATTTGACTGCATGACTACAAGTAGTACCACATAATCTAAGTACGTACATGCAAAGTACAATCAAAAGCCAAAAAAACTGCAACTAGAACTATGATCATATCGTCCTTACTATGGGAGAAACAACCACATGGAGGAGGAAATTTCAAAAATGATGAAACAACGAAATAGGAGGATGAAGGTGGGAAAAATCGTCCTCTTTTTACAACTAAATCTATATAGAACGAGTGCTCTCATTAACATACAGGTGGGTCATGAACAATTTGGGGGGTCAAAAATACAAACTCAAGTCGTGCTAAGAGGAGTTATGTTGGGTACTTATAACGTGGACTTTGGGTAAATAATACAAGCTTTGGGGCCGAGGAGGTTTTAGATTGAGGAACCTTCTGCGATAATCGTAGGGAGGTAGCACATGAGATCTTCTCAAGTTGGAATCGGTCTCGTGAGGGCGACCTCGATCCTGATGATCAAATGTTGAGCCTCGTCGATCTCGTGATACAAAAAAGCTTCTCTCTTCGATCTCATCAACTGTCATCTCTTCTACCGAATAACACGAAAATGCACTAGGACACTATGACAATCAAACAACGAACATAGGACGACAACAAGATCTTTGCTGTCAGCAAAGCGAACAAAATAGACGTGGTCGAATGCAGCTTCTCTCTCTCTCTTTGATAGGAATTCTATCGCTCTCGCTCACATGCTCCCATGTACTCGATTCACGTCTGTCATCGAGCGAACACGTGCTCTGTCAGCGCAACACTTCTTCGCCTGTACCAAGCTTTCTTCTCACGATGTACCATGAAGGCGTAGGTCTCCGCTGTATAATCGTCAATTTTGTAATCACGCAAAAGTCTTCCTTACTCATGGTAGTAACTGGAGGCATGCGACTCGTACAGGGTACACAAATCGAGTCTCATAAGAGTACAGCAATGAAAACGCTGCGCTCTGGCACAGTCATTGGCTTTGGTGCTCTGACACAGTCACGATTTACTATAGTAAGAAAGTGGTCTAAGTTGTGATAGTTTAATCCCAATGGTAAATAGGAGGGCTACTCCGGGCACACTTAGGTTAGGTTAGGTTGGGGTCTACCATCCGATGTGGCAGAATTCGGCGGCTACTGAAGAGCTCTTCGTTATAACCTCCCACCAAAATGTAGCCTTATATCTTGAAGACTTCGCTCTTATCCACGATTCCACTGTACACGAGTGCGTTGTCTAAAGGGACATAGGTGCGCGTTATCAGCTTTATGGCTTCCTGGGCTGCGATGCCGCCTACGATTAGAACTACGTCAGAGATGAAGTAGACAGACGACGCCGCCCTCCCCACTACTTACTCGAATACGTAACCTCAGGTTGAGTTAATATTCGTTACGATGGGAAGGATCATGGAAATGAGTCACAGATCGAGGCCTACATGTAGAGACTTGAGAATCAACGATAGAAGCAGCGTCAATGTTAGAAGCAGAGTCAATGTTAGAAGCAGAGCCACAAGGCTATTGAGTCAGAAGACTATTTGAAAAACTTGTTGTAAACCACCACTGGCACTACTCTGAAAACAAATGCTGAGCCTCGTCGATCTCTTGATATAAAAAAGCTTCTCTCTTCGATCTCATCAACTGTCATCTCTTCTACCGAAGAGCAAAGTCTTAAAATGAGAGCCGAAGTCGGATGTACTTGACCAGGGCATCGTCGGACCTCAGTCGTCGCTTTACGAATCGCTTCCAGTACAACAGGCGACAGCTCCTCGTCCTTGATTTGATGTTTTTAGACATAGAAAGATCTTTCTTCATGGTCATTTATAGTATGCTACTAATTATTTTCTACAGTATTCATTTACCCTTGTTTCTTACAGTTCTCACGTTGCACCATTCCCTTTCGTTGTTGCTCACCTAGAATGCCTAAGCCTTAGCACGAACGACACCGATCATCCTCATCAAGTTCAAGAAAGTCTTAGACTTAAACTATCACACCTCCGCCTCATAAGGGGCACCTTGTCCTCCACCTGTTGCTGTTCCTCGCCCACAAGATAGCTGCTGCTCCTCTTCCACCACTTTCGCGATCCCTAAGAACCAAGGCAGCATGGATTCGTCGACCTCCTCTTGACTCTCCATGCATTCTAGCTCTGCGCGTAGCTCTTCCGGCAGAAGTCTCGTTATCTTCGACATCGTTGTAGTTGAATTGTCTACCTCCATCGGGACGCAGTCTTCAGCGAGGTCTTGACTATGCGCTTGGTCAGCGGATGAAGTAGTAGTTGTTGTGCCACGACCTACTAGGGCGGAAGTAGTTTCCTGCCGTAGATCGACGCATCTCAACGCGAACGCGCTGCGACAAAGGTTGCCCACATTAGTCTTCAAATTTTCCGAGGAGGGATTGTTGTTGTTGTCTGAAGGAGAAGTAGTTGTCTGCTCTGCCTTCGCAATCTCATCGATTTCTGCTTCCGCTTGCCGCCTATAAAGCTCTTGCAAAGCAATATAGCCCTCTGTCGTACTCGTCATGTCCGGTAAAGAGCCTGGCAAGGGCAAAACGCCTTTTTCCTCACAGAACTTCGCCACGGCCTGAGCAGCTAGTCGCAAGTCTGCGTCGTCTTTGGTGCCGTTTCTTAGGATTAGAAGATTACTATGGGTCATACAACTTCTACGTATTCCTGGCTGCTAGAAGATACAACTACCATTACCAAGTTTCTAATCACAAGAGTCGCCCTTCATCATAGTCTTTCAACAGCGAGGGCTTCCAGAGCTTCCCGAGTATCCTCCGGCACGACAGCGCTACTCGCAGGTGTGTCGTACATCAGATAGGCTACGTCCAGCGCTTCCTGAAAGTTTTGCTCATCCGGACTCCTCCTTAGTCTCAGAATGCACTTTTTAAAAGCCTCCTTTTCCTCACGCGTTCGCAAAGAAGCTCCACCCTGTCCCTCGGAATAGAGTTTGCGGGCATGCAGCAAGATAATTGACCATTAGCGACAAGACTCCAATCACTATCCATTGTTGAGTGACTTGTTGCCTTCTTTGTTTAAGGACTCCTAGCTCTTTCCCCTTGATGACTCCAGTAAGCGGAAACTTTCCTCTCAGGATACTAGACCACAGCGCCAGATAGTGATCGACTGGCCTTAAGGATAGGGGATGTGCGCATGCTCTGCCGAGTCTTTTACTCCAGCGAATTCTACATCGGAAAAAGCTCCTTCAAAAGCATACTTCTGCAAAGCATCAAACGGCTTTGATAAACGCAGCTGGTGCCGCACAAACGCCTGCCCCTCTGGTTTTGAGTCCATGACTATATGGGGCCTACTACCAGACGAAGAAGAAGCTGTGCTTGCGCTTCCGCTAGTCGTAGAAGCCACCTGCTCTAGTCTGACCCATCCTACGAAACCTCGTGAGAGACACCGCACCACCACTGGCGGCGAAGATAAGCGCTCTAAGGCACGTCGCACTTTCTCAATCGGCACATGCTGCTCATCAACGAGAATGAGAGAAACGTCAGCCTTGGACAAATATACTCTGCTCGCTTCACATTCTAGCCAACCGCTTGTGGTTCCACCATTTTTGCCGACGTCAACACCAACGACGCTTGAATCTGGATTCAAGGTCTGAAGGCTTTCCCTCACCGCTTCTGCCCGCGAAGTGCCTAAAATGCTGGCACCCTGTTGCTGTTTCTCCACCACAAAGAAATTCGTTCGCAGATCCACAGCGGTGACCTTTTGGTCGTCCACGATAGTAACCCTGCCGACACCTGGCAAAATTACATTTTTCGCGGCTTCAGATAATACCGCAGAACTCCCTAGACACAAAACATGGCCCTTCGCGACCTCCGCTTGCCCACTCGTGCCCCACAAACGCACTTGACGATCATATTTGTCATTGGTGGCCATTTTTTTCTTGGTGTGATGTTAGGAGGACGTGGCCTTGCGACGTGTTTGTCACTTAATGTTCCACGCAAAAGCTACATATACATAGATACTCTACATATACAGTGTACTTGCTAAAAGTAAAGAGCTAATAAAGAATGGCGGGCGACCAGTGGATGAGCAGGATGATTACAACCAAGAAGACGAAGAACTATTTACAAGTTTCGACATTTAGAGAAAGGGCTTCAGTCTAGAAGATCTCACTTCAACGACCCCCCCTGTTCGCACTACGATCCAAAAAAGGGAATGAAGACGGACTTATATCGAACTACTAGCCGCAATTGGCTTGTCCTTCAGTCAGTCGCGGAAGATATTACGTTTTAGAAGACATTCCCAAGATTTCTCGTCCTAGAAGATCCTGTCCGTGCATTCTGTCAAAACACGGGGAAAGCACGATGCTCGTAATGCTTGTTGCCCACTAAGAGCAGGAGCGAGTGGTCCTTCCGATGCCAGCGGTGTGATCCAGAGATTTTAAAAGGTTCTGAGCAAATCCATGGCGCGTGTCCGTGTACTTTGATGTCGATGAGTTCAATGGTTGGATGTAATAAGTGGAGTGTCGTAGTCGTTGTGCTGTCTTGTGATTTTTTAAGAGTCAAATGGAAAGTGTCAACTACGTTTCCAAAGGGCCTCCCAGTCATATCGTGTTCACGTATTATTTGTAATCAAGCTCTTTCCCGAGCGTCCTTCTCTCCCGAGTGTCCTTCTCCTCTACTGCGTCTTTAAGCTCTTCCCTCCATTTCATCCTCCTCTACATCTCGAGCTTCTGGGAAGTGATCCACGGTGTCTCTCCAATTTTGCTTCAGGCTGCTCCATAACTCGCGGAAGAGTCCCTGTTCACTGCCAGATCGCTGGTGTTAGAGCTGGCTACCCCAATGATAGCCCAGCTATGTGTGGTGGATCCCTCTATCGACGACGGTGACAGACGGTAGTCGATTCGGATTTGGCCCCTCATCAAGAATATCGCTACCGTCCCGATAATAAAAGAGATGGAGTAGCTGGAATCTTAATGATGTGGCTCAGTAAAGGCGTCTAAGACTCGCCTGCCGTTAACCTCCACTGGAAGCCAATATCCATCCGGTGTCCGGACCCAACCATTCCGGTACGCACAGCAAGCCACTACCTCTTGATAGCGAGGGCCCTGTTTCTCATGTGCTTTGCGCAGGATTCTTCGGACAATTTCTCTCTTCTACTCTTTATTGTATCTAATCTCGTAGCAATTCTATTTAGGAAAACGATTAGTCGTTGTACTCAGATGGGTGATCCGTTTGTCCAGTTTTGAATTCAAACATTGAGACTCTAATGAAATAAACAGACCCACCACCTACGCATGCTCGTAGAGATACCAGCCTCATGAGCACTCTACCAAACTTCCAACCATCCTCGTATACCAGTCTCGTGAGCACTCTAGCGTCCAAGTTTCCGCATTCGTGTCTGTATGCGACACCCTTCTCGTGTACCACTTCCCAGAACTGCAATGCCTCGATCTCCGCTTTCGCTCCATTCTCTAACTCTTGGAGTTTCTTCTCAGCTGCTAGCAATTTCCGTCGAATCTTATCATTCTCGTCTACTCGGGAGTCGTCTCCTGGGTCTGGGATTAGAGTGTCTAGATTTTAACCTACTTTATACAACTAGTAGCTTGTGCGTAGGTATTACTACTGTAGTCCACAATGTAGAGATGATACCCGAGATAGTACGCTGTTAGAATTAGAATTAGATGGGCTCCTGCTTCAGCCCTGCGCTTTGAGCGCCGGATCAGCTGTTGGTAGAGATGATGCCACACTATTCTAAAATACGAAGGACGTCCGCGTCGCCTCCTCTACTTTCTCACTATTCTGAGCTGAGTAAATGCCTCTACAGCTGAATGCCCCATGAGGTCAGAGGAGAATGAATCTACTCAGGAAACAAATACTCCAAGAAGATGGAATAGATAGTGAGGTATACTGAAACCCTAGTACTACTACGACTGACAGTATCCTTAATGGTATCAATTCTGGAGAGTTCGACGCCGCTTCTACCTCAGGCGACCTCGATGTGGCAGTGCGAAATTAGACGCCTCCGGACAATCTTGAATCTTTAAAAAGGTACTAGATTAGTAGCCGTCTAAAAGTAGTAGCACAACTGGGAGTCCTAGCTTACTTATCCACTCAGGGGGCTGAAAGAATAAATCGAAATGGCGGGCAGACCAATGCTTAGAGGGCTTGCTGGAGCATCATCGTGATCTCGTCCTTCAGCCACTGAAAAAGCACTACTGCAGTGTGAATTTGAAGCCACCCACTGAGAAAGCACTAGTGCAGTGTTAATTTGAAGCCACCCACTGAAAAAGCACTAGTGCAGTGTGGGTTTGAAGTCACCAAATCCAAGAATTTCTGACTTTATTCCATTTAATTCGAATTCATTTCCTGAGGAGCTCAATTTCTGCAAGAAGTGAACCTTGAAGCTTCATCATGATCCTCATCAAAGTCGTAATGTCCTACAACCACATGCTGACGCTCTAACAAGAATAGAGCTAGACTTATGCAGTTTAGTGCCAAAATATGCTAAGAAGGCACTGCTTTACATCTTTTAGCCATCGAAAAGATGCCACCATTTGAATTGGATTCCTCTAATCCTAAGAATTTCTGACTTTATCCCATTTAATTCGAATTCATTTCCTGACGTGCTCCAAGAAATGAATCTTGAAGCTTCATCATGATTCTCATCAGAGTAGTAACGTCCTACAACTACATGCTAAGTTTCTGACACGAATGCAGCTAGATGCATGCAGTTCAGTGCCGAAATATGCTAAGAAAGCACTGCTTTACATCTTTTAGCCATCTAAAAGATGTCACCATTTGAATTGGAGCCCTCTAATCCTAAGAATTTCTGACTTTATCCCATTTAATTCGAATTCATTTTCTGAGGAGCTCAATTCCTGCAAGAAACGAATCTCGAAGCTTCATCATCACTCTCAACAAACTAGGAAGGTCGTGTCTGCAGATGCTTACAATACAGACTGAACACGACTAGGAATACTGGTTTTATACTGTGTCCTAACCCCTTCAGCCTCTGGAAATGCAATGGAATATTAGGCCAAAACGAGTTAAGTTCACCTTTAATCTGCATAGATACTTGAGCACGCTACGCCTCGTAGCATTCTGTTACTAAGCCACGCCAATTACTAATACGCTAGGATCAAGAAGAGCAACAATCAAAAGTGAGTCCATAATCACACCCCGCTCTTAGCCGTTGCTCCCGAGTCTCTACTGCGCATTCTCTATGCACTAGATCCGCAGCTCGTCGCTGTAGCTGTATTCTTAGTGCGTCTAAAGGTGCATCCCCACCTGCGTCGTCTATGAAATCGCTCACCAATGCTGCACGTAGATGTATTGAAATCAAGAGGATGAACCCATAACCATACTTCTACCTGGACAAGTATCTATGTATAATTAAGCGCCAGCAATTATGATGATAATTGAAATCGGATAGCTGATGAAAACAAGGCTGGTTGAAATCTACGGCACTACGATGGCAGACCTTAATACATGATGACGCTACACCATTACTAAGACCCGAGGAGTCTGTCATTAATCAAATAAATAAACCTCTCTGCTTTTCTGCTTGTAACTCTGCTTTTAGGTGTGCTACTTGGTCCTTCAGTCTCGCGTTTTCCTGTCGAAGTGTCGCACTCTCCTGAGTTTCTGCACCAGTTCGCTGAGAATTGTCTGCGGCTGAGGATCCCGACTGAGGTAGTGCCCTAGATATTCCGCCACCGTGACTTAGTAGCGCAGCATCGCTCCCACCTTCTGCAGCAGCTTGGGTAGTCGATGAGGAGACGGCTTTGGAGGACGACGTAGCAGGCGACGTAGCAGGAGAGGAGAACGACCGAGCGCCAACATCACGGCGGTCGACATTATTTTTGTGCTCTTCAGATTTTGGCAGCGAAGATGTTGTAGTTGTTGTGCCTCCTGAAGGAGCAGTGGTAGCGATAGTGCCTCCTGAAGGAGGTCGTGTAGGAGGTGGAGCTAGAGTTGTCATGATTTTTTGCTCACCAGTCGGCCAGTTGTTTGCGACTGTTAGCGAAACCTCCGTGCGTGGGGGACGATGTATTTAATCCTGATGCTGTGGGAGTATGATCTTCTTTTCACAGCGAGCAGGGCTAGCTAGTGAGTTCCGCGAGAGATTGCATTTTGATTCTTCAGCTACAAAAAGAGAGTCCCAGACGGTACGATATACGAATGCGGATCTACTTCATGTGTAGAATATCTTCGCACCGTAGCAGTCTTAAAGAGTATAATTTTGGACCTCGTATCTGGCAACTTGCAGCATCTTGATATGGTTGAAGAGTCATTATACTCTGGCTGAGTACTAAACAACAATGCTCATAGTGGACGAGGATGGACTTGATAGAGATTCGCAACAACCTCTCCGACCCATCTATCCAAACTATAGGAAGAGGAAAAGCTTCTCACTGCAAAATGCGTCACCATCATCAGAAAGAAATGGGCGCCCTTTGCTCTTTTCACAGAGAGGCAGGCCTTGCATTTTTATCATCCCTAGTGTTGGCTTGAGAATCAACATCAAGACGCTTTCTGTAAGAAAAAGTAGAAGATGGAAATACTTCTTATTTCCGCCACCGCCCCTATTCTATTGCACTAATTTCATTTTTACCCTACGAAAACGGCGGGTGTCACACCTTCAGACGTGCCTCTGCAAAAAATTGACAATTATGGATCTGCGATGTTGTACCTAGAATCAATCTACTATGGAAGAGTGAGAGGCGGAAGTGGTACATTTATTTTTTAGGAAGTCGAAGAGAAAAAGCGTCTTGACGAGACAAAGAACAGTATCGGTCTACGAATATGAAGACGCAAATGAAGAAGCTCTCGCGTCGACGTCGTTCCTTACAAAAAATTTCCCATTAATTTCAAGAGCACTCGTGGGCGATATGATAAAAAACGGAATCGACCGTCTTTCTAGTAGTGCCGAGCAAGAGAAAAAAGATCTACAGCAGCGCTTGCATTCTCAATGAAACATGCGCGAAAGTCATAATTGACAGATTGGGATAGAACGATGCCAATATCTCTAGCATCGATCAAGCCTTATCATCTGACTCGTTGTACTCTCGTACCTACAAAAAGTTCGCACTACTTCACGAAGAGGGTACTCATTATTTATGTTGCTGCTTTCTTTACTTTTTTCAGCAAGTCGCTAAGTGGCCGCGTTTCCGCTTTCTTATCCGGGTACCGCTTCGGCATTAGAAAGATTCTAACTCGCTTCTTGGCTTCCTTGCCTCCAGTTCTAGTCGGTGCGGTTTTGTCATCTTCTGTCACGGATTGCGCTAACTCTAAAGCTGAGAGCCATAACAATATATCCTCCAGTATCCCTATCCCTTGCAGTTTCAGGAAGTCCTCCATCTCCTCTCTCGTCGCGAAAAACTCCTTCCACTGTGGTGGGAAGTCCTCGCTTTCAGCCAACTTCGCAAAGCCCTCAACAGCGACGCCTGATGAGCATGAAAGGACAGGCATTGGTAGAGAATGTGATGGAGAATGATCATGATGGAGGGTGATCATTCTTCTCTACAGGTGACCGAGGGACTAGCATTTATGATATTTGCTAGTGCTGCTCTCATGACATCAGTTGCCTACTTCAAGCCCCGCGAGTGCCCTTTTCTGGACCCTGACAGCAACAGAAGCTGCAGCATCACTGTCGGTCCCTTCGCCTTAGCGCCACAATAGCTACAGCTTCAAAAACTAAGTACCTAAAAAATCCAAAGCATAGTCGTCTTTCCTCTGCAGCATATGCCTCACTACTAGGCGAACTACGCGCAGTTCCTTTGTCTTCGCCAACACTTCACTGCTGTTTAGGGCCTCTGAGTGCTTCATCAACGCCGTGAAGTAGTAGATAACGGCACTTTCCTGACTCTTCAGCGTCTCCTTATACTCGCCGACCCTCTCGCGCGCAAGGGACAGGATCTGGGGTGGTGATCTATAGGCGCTTCTCAGTGAAGAGTAGAAGGACCCTTCAAATCACAATAGTGCCATCGCTAGCACATGCTCTAGAAAAGGTATTCGTCAGAAGTGCCATCGCTACGTGCTCCAGCAGAAGCACGCAGTCTGTCAACTGCAGTGTCTCCACATGCATGAAGCCTCGAAGTAGCAAAAGCCCTAATGACTCTTCAAAAAGGTTGCATTTTCGTAACAGGTTCACTTCATCCACGTCCATCGCTCTTGATGCGTCCTTTAGTCGCGCCTCCTGCGCTGTTGGACCTCGGACTGCGAATTGCCATTGGGATTAGACGCGTCGTGATGAGGGTCGTGATGAGGAAGAGGAACTATATTTTTCTAACAAAAGTGACAGTTATTGAGGAGAACTACTGAAACCAAGGCGATGGCTTTTACTTTCCATTTCAATACTCCCATAATCTTTGAACTCTATCATCATCCGGAGACACACACTCACTTTTGCTTCTTCCGCTAGTATTCTGATGGCATATTCATGCGCAGCTTGATCCCATAGCGTGCCGTCAGATTCGGTTACTCTGCCTGTTTTGGTGTCTGAAGGTAATCTTAAGCGCGACCATCTTCAGTGAATGCGTTTGAAGTTGATTTGAACTCAGACTCTCTATAAGACCTCAACGATCTTCTTCAACTACAACTCCGAATGAAAAAATATAGGATATAGGAGCGCGACACTTTTGCTCCCGTAAAGGATAGAAGCACGACCTTTCTGCTCTCCTACTGCGGCTTCTGTCGGTATCAGGCTCTCCAGCTGCGCTAGTCTTGATAGTTGTTCGAGGCTGTCGACTAATCCAAGCCAGTGCCCACTTAGGACAGGATGTAACCGGAGTTGTCGCACACACTGACGGGCCGCTTGGTTAAAGATAGAGGTGTAGCGGGAGATGTAGCAGGGAGGTGGGAGTTTTTCATTGTGATGGATTTCCTCAAACAGGTCTTCAAAATTTTGATTTTTTTTCCCACAACTACGTAAGTTCCTAATTATACCACGAGTCTCTAGTTGTTGGAACACCCGAACACGTCCAAGCGCACTATGAGGCTCTTGAGAGTAAATGGAATGATTATCGTTGCAATGTAACGGAAAGACGATCAGAACGGACTTGCCGAATGATCACTGACTGTTTAAGGCCCTGAAATGGTATCAGAATGGGTCCAATGTCATTGGGATATCATGAAGGGTCATAGTGCAGTTAAAGATCTGGGAGATCTTGCTGCTAATTCATGTTGGGACTCATTGAGTTCAAGTGATGATCATTCGAGGAACTAACATGAGTTCAAGACAAGGAACGGCATTGATCATGATCAAGGTGACGAGTGAGAGCAGTCATTTGGCATTGAAATCAGGTTCATTCATTGGATCTTGAGCCAGTAATGACCATTGACCAACACCCCTCCTCAATCGCTAGGTGAGGAAATGACGAAAGTCACAAACGGTCTGGTGTTACCTGCTCTGACCCAGAACCATCACGATTCTCTATATCCACTGACGTCACCACTTGACCAACGACCTAACACCCTAAGAAGATAGAATAGGTAAGCACCGCCACGGAAGCAGAACTTGAACCAGACTCATCATCTTCCGTTTCCGAGTCACTATCATCTTCATCATGGTTACGGCTAATTACTGGATTCTCTATGTGATGTAATAATAATCTGCGTTGAGTAGATGAGCATGAAAGTTTCGTTAGTCCATCAGCTTTCATGAGGTGAGTAGGACAGAAAACTACTTTCTCAGCTGCGTCTCTAACTCGTAAATAACGTAACGCATAGTGTCTACTCTTAGGCTTCGTGTCTTCACTCTTTGCTGTCGAGATTGCAGACTGGTTGTCTATCCACAATATGGCATCATCGAGGGATGGCGATATACCAAACCGCGTTTCCACTAATTGAGTGGGTAAGGGATTGAAGAAATCTGTAAAATCATGCAGCTCGCTCATGACAATAGTGTCCGACGCGGCTATATACTCTGACTCTGCAGTTGAATATGCACGCACGGTTTGTGTATTGCGTTTCCAACAGATTGGAAAGCCCCGATAGTACATAATCGAACCACTGGTCGAGCGCATGCTCTTTATGCAGTTTGCGAATCCTGCATCTGAGAACCAGTTAGTATACGGTAGCTCTCTTCCTTCTGGTAGGAGCTTCTTGTAAATTCCGTTGAATTCTTCCTCACTTTCTGGAGAATAATAGAGTCCTTGGTCTTTTGTCGTAGCTAGATACTTTAATACTTTTCTACAGGCTTTTGCAATTCTTTCTGTAACGGGCTTACTGACATACCGAGCCAATGTCGCCACAGGGACGCAAATATCTGGCCTTGCGGTTGTCGATATCCAAAGCAGTGCGCCAACAATCTCACGCAATGGAAACCCGGCTGCTAGCTTAAGCCCCTCCTCAAGCAAAGCAGACTCGTCGAAATTTGGAGACCACACCGGCTTACCTAATGTTATTTTATACTTCTGTAAAGTCTTCTCTATGTACACATTCATCAGGATTTTCACTGAACGTGCTTCCCGACAATAGTGCACAATCGCACCAAGAAAGTCGAACTCTAGCCATTCGAAACCCGTAAGAGAATCGACTCGCTTTGCCATCTCAATAGGTCGGCCAGGGGCGCGACTAAAGATCCGGTCGAGCTCAGACCGTAACTCGTGATAGTCAGGTCCAGTAGCTAAGTTATCATCAACATAGACTGACATCTTCATATACTTTCCTGGGTGCGTTTTGCTCTTTTTCCGCCACAATCCTGGAGCAGAAGGACACGGCTCCCATCCGAGTTCGGACAATAGCACGCAATACTTCTTGAACCAGGCTCGTGGAGCGTCCTTGAGCCCATAGAGAGCTTTCTTAAGCTTGACGATATCCGCTCCATGCTTCTCCGCCCACACTGGTGGAAGACGGCAGAAGACGTCACGATCGAGTTCAGCATTAAGGAACGCAGAATCAAGGTCGAATGGGATGACGAAGTCAGAGTCCGTCGCTGCTGAAACGAGTAAAAGTCTATTCGCAGCATGTGACACTACAGGGGCGTAGGTGTCGATATTCCCCGAACGATCAAGATTCCCGAGCACACAAGCACGAGCTTTGAAAGTTCCATCACGTTTTACCGTGAGAACGATTGCTATAGGCATTACCTGAGAAGAGGTTCGCAGCTCCTCGTCAGTAGCTGGCGCCCAAGTCTCAAAGGCAAGTAGTCTAGCTTCCTCCTTGGTGATAGCTGCACGCCATTTCTCGGCGTCAGGGCTTTTCAAGGCTTGGGAAACTGACAGCATGACATGTGCTTCGAGAAAGGTCTCCCCTTCTTCCAGCTCATGCCCGCCTGCTAGCATGGCAAATTTATGCATGTCTTTTCTTAATGCTTCTAGCTCGGCTTTTGTTCTTCTTTTGCGTTGTCCTGGATTCTTATCCTTGCTCCCTTTAGGTCTTCCTCGGCCTTTCTTCCCCTCCTCAACTTTGCCTGGTTGAGATGGTGGAATGGGTAAGGTCCTCGGATCCCTTGCTTCAGGATTAGAGTCAGGCGACACACGCTCCGATGAGATATTCCCCTCCTCAACGCGTTGCGCGTCAGAGTTGGAATCATCACCGGTCTTTGGATCTTCCTCTTTGTCCAAAGATTCACAGAAAAACTCACCAATGTCATTGTTATCTAGTATCATTTCCATGCCGGTTGGATCGCCTGAGCTGTACTCCGTGCCAGAGAAGCGCGGCTGACAGGCCATACGTTGCAGCGCATGTCTGTGCAGGACGGGACCCAGCGACGGCGTGCCAGACTGCAGGTTTTCCAGCGGGTCATAATCAACATAAATGCCCTTCGACGTAGGCAATAGCCAATCAATGTTCTTGACTAATATCGACTCTCGAAATTTTACGTCTAGTGTGGAATACTCACTCCACTTGAAGCCAGCTTTCGTTCTCCCATCGTTGTGATATGTACCTACTAGCCAACCAGACGAAACTGGACACAGACCGAGAAACACACCACGCCGATAAGGTGACGCAAGCTTTGCTTCTTTCTTGTTGGTGGTGTCTACGACCTGTTCACGAAAGTACACCAAGCAACCAAATCTTCTTAACATACCTAGACCACTTTTCGAGGACTTCTTTCCTATCCTCTTTTCTAGTATCTCGACAGGACTCATTCCATCACGTTCTGGCATTTTTGCATAACGATGCGGTAAGCGATTCCAACAATCTCCGGCATACTGTAAGCAGTAACACCAAAGACGTCGGTCGACTTTGACCAACATGGTACGTACAGCACCGAAAATGGTCCGCATGAAACGTTCGCAAGTTCCGTTCATTTCTGGGTTGTAAGGAACTCCAGGAATTTCCGAAACCAGTAGCGATTGCATGACTTTGGTCATATGGTCACTACTTAGGACGGGTTCGTTATCTCTACGGATGAACCACACCACCTTGTCGTCGAGTGACAATGAGTAGTCCTGGCGAATGCCTTTTATTACTTCTTCAATCACCTCTACGCAGTCCGACTTGAGGCAAAGAGGACGAACGAAACACATTTTAATCGAATCACAAATAATGACTAAAGCACATCTTTTGCTTCTTATAGATACTGGTCTAATACCAACTGCGAAATCAATTGCAAGTGTTTTCAATGGAGAAGGTATATGTCCAGGGGGTCTCACTTTTGCATGAGAGCGTCTTTGACCTTTGGTTCGATCACATTCTGGACAAGATACACTAAGGCCATCAACGTGAAAGTGACCAAGTCTACGATGTATGTCTAATCTTGAAGCTTGTGAATGAAGTCTAGCTTCTTCTATACTAGTGCATACTATATCCTCCTCAGTTTCATTTTCTTCTTTGCTAAACATGTCACAGCCTAGAATAGGTAACTGCATCTGGGGGCAATTTGTTATGGGTAGAGAGCGGCCGGAGCGAGTATTGTACAACGTTCCGCCACTTTCTGTGAAATTCATTTGCCAACCCTTTTCATGACAGTTTCCTTCACCTAACCACGGTATAATGCGATCTATGGCTTTTGGTAAGTGTTCAAAGTGTACGCCATATTTTAATCCTAGTTTGTTTTCTTTTAGTCTACCTAGGTTCCCACTTCGCTTTCCAGCAGTGCCACTAATATGACAAAGCCGGTGGCTAATTTTCTTGAAATCGGAACGATGGCTAGACAAATACTTATTTGCACAACTGTCAACAAGTGAAACTGTTTTGCTTTGATTTGCACTAAGATAGCAACCTGAGTGATTGTCAATCATATAGCTTTCATCCCTAAGCAGTTCACTTCTATATTCTTTATTCTCAAAGTTTTCTTCCAAGTTCAGCGAACATTTTCCATCCTCATTTTGGAAATCTTCTTCCAATTCTTCTTCATCTTGGGACTGTCCATCTCGTCTCCCATATCCATTCCATTCCGGATTGGTTTCGACTCAGCGTTGTGGTTGTTGTCCACCCCATTGCTGCTGTGGGTTACCGTTGTCGAATCCTTTTCCTCCACTTTGTTGCGGTGGATAGTTGTTCTGGTGCCACGGAGGGATAGTGTTACCTTGCGGCCAACAGTTGTATGAATTGTTGAAGAAGTTGCTGCCCATGGCTTTGTTAGGTTGGTAGCTTTGACTCATCGGGTTTAGCCAGCATTTGTGCGCCTTATGTCCATATTTGTGACAATAGTTGCACTGGATGCCCTCATTAGGATTTGAGTTCTTAGCACCTTTACCTTTGCCATTTCCTTTGTTCTTCTTACTACTAGAACTACTACTACTACTCTTTCCACTTCCTTTTGTTGCGTAGACCTCGTTCTTGATTTCTTTGCGAATCTTCTTGCGAAGTCGTTTGATCGTTGTTTTCTTGAGAGCGGCAAACGCGTTACCATCGTCATCACTCTCATCTTGACGTTTACGCTTCTTGGTTTTGTTATTGTTCTGGTTTTCATCATCGGAATCTTCGACAGCTGGAAAAGCTTTGCCGAAAGATGGATTCTCGATCTTGTACTCACCAGAGTCAATCAAACTTTGAAGCCGTTTCGTGAGTCTGTCACCGATTTGGACGAACGTTAGATGTTCATCTTCTTGCATCCTCTCGATTGTCTGTCGAAATGCTTTGGAAAACATTTTTGGCAGAATGTCGAGGATTGCTCCGTTTTGTTGATCAGCAACAGCCACACCAACTTCCGGCGGGTATACGGTCGGAGATTGGTTCATGACATCTCTAACCTTCGCCAAGAATGTTGGAACGTCTGGAGGAGAATCACTGTTCGTGAAATGCATCCCTTCCAACGCTTTAGCAGAGATTCGCTGCTCTGTGCGGTCATTTTGACTGAAACCAGCGTCACGGAGGTTTGTTACCACTTCACCAGCGTTCATTACAGTGGTATCCTGATCCTTCATATGTGCTGCGGCTGCACCTTTGAGCGACTTGATGATCACGTTCTTCAAATCTCGCCAATTCTGCTGGAGCTTGCGGTCGTTGTTGTTGGGTTGGTTCGGAATCCCTGCCGCATTGCCGTTCAGCACGTTGTTGAAGTATTGGACTAGGTCCAGGCGGTCCGCTTCTTGCGTTACCGCTCGAAGCCAGTCACGCCAGTCAGATTTCTGTCCCAGTTTGGGTGAAATCTCTCCAAGACTCATATCGGGCATTTTGTGGCGCAAATAATGCGACTTTGTTTTCTCTACTTCTACAAAGTATTGACTAGCAATTTCTTTAATAAGGTAAGGCTCAAGGGCTTGAAACAGTGTTGGAACACCCGAACACGTCCAAGCGCAATATGAGGCTCTTGAGAGTAAATGGAATGATTATCGTTGCAATGTAACAGAAAGACGATCAGAACGGACGTGCCGAATGATCACTGACTGTTTAAGGCCCTGAAATGGTATCAAAATGGGTTCAATGTCATTGGGATATCATGAAGGGTCATAGTGCAGTTAAAGATCTGGGAGATCTTGCTGCTAATTCATGTTGGAATTCATTGAGTTCAAACGATGATCATAGGAGGAACTAACAAGAGTTCAAGACAAGGAACGGCATTGATCATGATCAAGGTGACGAGTGAGAGCAGTCATTTGGCATTGAAATCAGGTTCATTCATTGGATCTTGAGCCAGTAATGACCATTGACCAACACTAGTTGTACTCAAAATAAAAAGCGTTCGTCCCCAATCATACCGCGAGTTTCTAGTTCGTTGTACTCAAAAAAAAACTAAGTACTACCTACTAAACTGCAGCTTCCACATCTTAACTTGCGCCCTTACTTCGCTGCCTTCCTCCCGTCTTTCTTCCTCTCCTCGATTAGCGGTCTCATATTTCCTGCCGCCCTTCGCAGTTGCGGTTTTGAACATTGTGACTGTTGTTGTATCTCTGAAAGACAAAGATCGCCGATTGCTCTTCTGTTGTATGATGTATAATGTGACGACTTTTGTGAGTGTTGAATATGTAGTGCGCAATTGAGACTCCACCTAACCCAGACTACGAGGATGGAGGTCGCATGGCCTCGCCACGGCTGTTGTTGATGAAGGTTCCGAACAAGTCGACAGCTGTACCTTTCTCCCTTGCTGGTGCCATTTCGTCTCCTCCAGTGAACTCTCGGCCCCTAGTCTTCCACTTTCATCTCTCTCTGCTCAGTCTGTCTTCTAGGATTAGGATTAGGATGTGATCCGCCATCGATCCACAGGGTTTGGCCAAGAGCTTACAGCATCGCGTGCCTCTTTTCGACGCGTAACTTCTTGGATTGCAAAGCAAGAATCCAGCGATTTTCCTTTATTCATTCATTCAGTTTGGGTCTCCCTGTATGTCGCCCTGGTCCTCAGTCCAGCTTTTTTTTTTTTTCGGGGAGGAATTAGTTAGGTGTCTGCCGCTGTTTGGTAGAGTTAGCCTGCGGGCTGCACTGCCGCAAGTCGAACTCGGATCCGCGTCAAACAAGCAAAAGCATACGCTACTACGAAGCTAGAAGAGCCTACCGCATTAAGGCTTGGCCTAAATTCAATAAATCGTAAAACTCAAACAGCATCGCTGAGCATTACTTAGCCACACCATCAGCGGAACATAGAAAGAGAAGAAGAGGCAGAGAGCCACTAGTTATAGTGCATATTGACCCGACTGCGTGACAGACGGCTCCCCCCTATGTTCTGTTTTTTGTGGGTGGTCGACGTTTCATTTGAACCGAAGCCCAGAACACGAAGCGGCAACAAATAGAGGCAGCAGCCGCGACAGTCACCACTTAGACTGACGGACTGGCCACACCGTCGAAGCGGCGCGCAATTAGCCATCCGCCATTGTTTTAGTTTTCTAGCTAAGTCCTTACGGGGTTCCTTTCTTTTCTCCCTGCTCTTCCTCGCCTTGCGGGTGGCTTTTCCCGCTTCTCTACTGGGCCGCTGCTCACGCTCTTACGAGTGAGAGAGGCGGCCGATGCAAGCGAGGCGCAAATCTGAACTACAAAAAGGCCCCTCGATCTCCTGCGACAGACCGCGACCCCCGCTAGACCTTCCGCTTCTCCCTTTTTGTCTGCGCTTGCGTCCTTGCTACTAACTACTATCCTGCTCGCCCAGCGAGCCGACAGAGATAGACGACCACGACCAGCAGGGGGCCGGAAGCTTTCCGAAGCGGCTCGAATGCCTTGAAGTCAGAAGACCCGTAATGCCAGGAGGAACAGCATAGGTCGCAATGTGATAAGCCGCTCGCTGGCCGTCGCGGACACCCGGACGCCCATTGACGCGATCACGTGCCCAACGACTTCCGCGGCCTAAACCTCGCGCGCGAGAAGCTCCCTACTTGCTCACCCGCCGCCACACCTACTGACGTCGGGGTCTTAGGTCCTTGTCGGTTCAGAGACAGAGCTCTTAACACGCAAGCGCAATACGCTTACTACCTACCCCCCTCTTCTTCTTCTTTCTTGCCTTACGCTGGTGACGCGCCCGCGCCACGGCCACTACGGTTCCGACCACGCAGAGCAGCTCCAGCCCCCGCGCAAAGATGAGGGCCATGCTCGTCAAAACACAAAAGAAAACTACGACAGCGGACTTGGCTATTGGTCGAGCTTTTTGTGGAACTATAACGAGAACTCCCGCCCCGTCTACATTAGCAGGGGCCCTCTTAATTACGACGGGGCCGACCTGTTTCCACTCAAGCGCCCAGGCCTCTCGTTCAAGTCGTGCGGAGATTCTAGGTGCGTCCTACTCATACCAATTACTTAGCCCGTCAGCCGTTAATCGTGCCGCTTTGCTCTCTTGGAACAAGAAGTAAAAAACGAGGCTGAAGATGCCTTTCTCACTGAACTTCCAAAAACATCAACTCGCTCCGACTTGTTGGAAACAACCTATAGCACGAATGAAAGTGATCACTTTCACGCGTCTTGCTCATGTCCGTACTCAAAGCGTCTTGCTCATGTATATAGAAAGACCAACCTACTCCAAGAATTATAGCCAAAAACGATCTCTGGCATTCTTCGCCATTTTTGCGGTGCTCCCTATAATGGGCAAACAGATCACCATCGAGAAACTTGCAAGAGAATTTCGTTGATTAATGCGAACCAGCACTAGACTCCACACAAGAAGTCGCCCCATTTCGCAAAAATTCTGATTTTATCTCCTAAAATTGAAACTCATTTCCTGACGAAGAGATAGCAAATGGATTGTCACCAAATGTTCAAAAAGTTGAAAACTGAAGGCAAATGGCAACAGATTGGCCTTAAGCTAGTACGTCAGACCGATATTGGAGCTAAACTCTACAAAGTCTCACCTTCTATGTCAATCCTAGGTCTGACAGCGAACAATTTGGCCTACAGTTACGACTTAAGATCGATATTGAAGCAAGCTAAACTCTAGAAAAAGTCACCTTCTACGCAGATCCCAGGTCTAACGTCCAACAATTAATTTGGCCCCCAGTTACTACTTAAGACCGATATTGGGGCTAAACTCTGGAAAGCCTCACCGTCTACGCACATCCTAGGTCTAACATCCAACAACTTGGCCGCCAGTTACTACTTAAAATCGACACTGGAGCTAAACTCTAGAAAAACTCACCTTCTACGCCAACCTTAGGCCCAACATCCAACAGCTTGGCCTTCAGTTACTGTTACTACTTAAGGTCGACATTGGAGCTAAACTCTAGAAAAATTCACCTTCTATGCACATCGTAGGTCTAACATCCAACAACTTGGCCTCCAGTTACTACTTAAGACCGATATTGGAGCTAAACTCTAGAAAGGCTCGCCTTCTACGCTAATCTTAGGCCTAACATTCAACAACATGGCCTCCAAGTACTAGCTAAGATCGATACTGGTGCTAAAGTCTAGAAGAGCTCGCCTTCTATGCCCACCTTAGGTCTAACATCCAACAGCTTGGCCCCCAGTTACTACCAAAGATCGACATTGGAGCTAAACTCTAGAAAAACTCGCCTTCTATGCCAATCTTAGGCCTAACATTCAACGACTTAGCCTTAGATCACTAGCTAAGATTGATACTGGATCTAAATTCTAGAAAAAGTGACACTATATCCTCCTTTTAGGCCTAACATTCAAGGACTTAGCCCCCAGTTACTCCCTAAGATTGATACTGGTGCTAAAGTCTAGAAAAGTCCACACATTGACACAATCTTAGACCTAACATTCAACAACTCGACCTCAAAAACACTACCTAAGGTCGATTTTGGTGCTTCGAAATTGAAATTGACCAACTCCAGTCAATATCCAAGAAAGTTAGTTTTTATCGCCCAGCAATTGAATTCATTTCCTATCGCGAGCTTTTCCATCAAGAAGATTCTGGCATCTTGGCCGCTGGTCATCATCGCCAAGATTTCTTGCCTAAATGCGCTAGATTCTCGCTCTGCAGATGACTACTAAGCGACTAACTGCACTAGGTTTCCATGCTGCAGCTGACTACAAACTAGTATACTGCTCGTCCGTGTTCCCCTGTTGCCACTGCAACTGGTACTAACTGATAGCTACTCCATCTGGGACAAGGTAACTAACAACATCAAGTGAAGATGAGAGTAACTATACCTATGATCCTTCCCAGCTACCGGCCCGCCGTGCAGCGAGAAGCCTTCACTTTTTTCGCTCTGCAAAATCACGAAAGGCTGGTGGTCCATGCGGAATCCCTTCCCAAGCAATGCCTCGCAACATGCAACCAACTGCGGACGCGTCCAAGAAAATTTGACGGAACGCTTTCTCGTGTAATATCTCACCAAGGTCGCCTCTAGAGTGTTGCGCTGCTGCGGGGTCGCCTGCATTAGCTGAGTCCTTAGGTGCGTGCTTCAGCTTGGGACCTTCTCGATATCTGACTTTTCCCTGCTCAAGCTTCCACGCATCTATTATACTGTTCATCTCCTTCAGCAGCTCCGGTTCTTTTGCTTGTCGTAGGATGAGAAATCCGCTCAAGTCAAAAAGGAGGCGGTCCTCTTGACTAAACACCCGAGGCGGGCGAGAAGAGGACGAGGATGCCGCTGCCATTTTTCTACTCGCACGAAGGGTCGTTATGGACAAAATGAAAGCGTTCTTGAGCCAAAATGGCTACGGTGGGAAGCCAAGAGTCAGCTTCTGCGCAGGCATATCTTCGTATCTTCATGTCTTGACGTTCTTGAATGGTTCGAAGAGCAATAGACCACTCATGTGTCTGTCTTTCTCCGCTGTGGGGCTGGAGGCTTTGGTCGGTGTCTTAACTCAAACTTAGTATCTCTATCTTCTAGAAGAAGTGCCCCAACTTTTGAATAACGAAAACTCATGAGATTGCATGCTGTTCGTCTCCAAAACTGCAGCAAACTATGTGCAAAAAGAGTAGAGAGGTCATGGAAGTGCGGGAATGATCGACGTGATCCCTGGTTATGTAAATGATATGTGGCCGCGATGTGTACTACTACTATTTTTGTGAGCAGAACAATACAAGCAAGCTCTCTCTAAGTGAAGACGCTTCTTAATATGATTTCTCTGGTGCTTCATTCTCATGGGCCTCGTTTCTCTTGTATGTGTGCTATTATCACTCTACGAAGTGCCATCCTCGTCGTTAGGTGAGTACTCTGCCATCTGTAACGGCGAATAGGTTCTGACCCTGAGGGAGAGCTTCTAAAAAATCTATTCGCGTAGACTACTAACTAAACGCTTGATCCTCTGATGTACTTGAGATAAAACTGAAGAGCTAGACATCTAATCAACGACCTCAGAATAAATCAAAGTCCGCGAAACCATGTAAATGATGCCACCTCGTGACTCCTAACCTGAGTATAGCTCTCACTTTGTTCGTATCCACCGCCCCTCTAACTATATCTTTTCGTCAGTTCTAGTAATCGCCTAACTAGTATTTGCCTTAGCCTTAGATCACTAGCTAAGATTGATACTGGATCTAAAGTCTAGAAAAAGTGACGCTATGTCCTCCTTTTAGGCCTAACATTCAAGGACTTAGCCCCCAGTTACTCCCTAAGATTGATATTGGTGCTAAAGTCTAGAAAAGTCCACATATTGACACAATCTTAGACCTAACATTCAACGACTCGACCTCAAAAACACTACCCAAGGTCGATTTTGGTGCTTCGAAATTGAAATTGACCAATTCCCGCCAATATCCAAGAAAGTTAGTTTTTATCGCCCAGCAATTGAATTCATTTCCTATCGCGAGCTTTTCCATCACGAAGATTCTGGCATCTTG